CGTAAATGCTTCAAGGTGGCGGCAGGCAGCGGCAACGCGGAGAATGGGCAGCTGCAACATGTCACACTGGTGGACAAGCAACCGCTGAGGGAGCAGGGCGTAAAGGAGGGAGGGAAGATTATTTACAAGGACTTGGGGCCGCAGGTGGGTTACCGCACGGTGTTCATCGTGGAGTACGCAGGGCCACTCGCCATCATGCTCGGCTACGCCGCGCGCCCGTCCTTCATATACGGCAGCAACATCACGAGAGGATACGGCTACACACAAAAACTTTTTATCTCCCTCTTTGCCGCGCACTTCGTGAAGCGGGAGCTGGAGAGTTTGTTTGTGCACAAATTCTCGCACGCAACGATGCCACGCCGCAACATCATACGAAACTGCGTGTACTACTGGAGCTTTGCCCTCTTTATTGGCTATGTGCTGTGCCACCCGAAGTACACGGAGCCGTCGTCGCGCGTTCTTGTGAACGCCTCGGCAGCCGCCATGGTGGTCTTTGAGCTGCTAAACTTTGCTGTGCATAAGCAACTGAGTGGCATGCGCCGGGGTGATGGTGACACGGCCCGCAGTGTACCACATGGCGTTCTGTTCTCCCTTGTCTCCTGCCCGAACTACACGTTTGAGGTGCTCTCATGGGTCGCCTTCTCCCTCGGCACGAGCCTGTTGTCATCGTGGTTCTTTACCCTTGCCGGCTTTGTGCAGATGGCGGAGTGGGCGGTGAAGAAGCACAAGGGCTACGTGAATTCTGATCCAAAGGTGAAGCGCAGGAAATGCATGGTGCCGTTTCTCTTCTAAGCAACGTGGGGGAGAGGGGGATGGGGAAAAATGGAGTATTATTCTCTCCCTCCATTGCAAAACTCGAAAAAAAAGGGAGAGGAAAGAGAATAGAGGAATAGAGTAATAATAATAATAATAATAATAATAATAATTGAAGATAAGTACACAGCCACAGAAACAGAAGAGAAAGAAAACGGCTGTACAGAAGAATTATTATTTATTTATTTTTTATTATGAGGCACATAAATATATATTTATATATATGTGCATGTGTAGTGTGGGGTTTACTGAGCGCCTTGTGGTGACGTGGTATGCATGTGCACCACGGACATTTACACCATTGCATCGCCCTTAGTGTATGTGTATGTGTCTGTCATGTGTGCGCGTGCATATGCATTCGCTGATAATAACGAAATCAAGGAGAGAAAAAAAGAAAAGAAGAAAGAAAGAAAAAAACATGTCATTCTTCTAACTGAAAGAACCGGCACCGGTCATTACTTCCCATGTTTCCCCTAATCGTCACTCCTGCGGAAATGAAGTAAAGAAATGGCAGGTGTTGCGATCTATATATATACATATGAACGGACACGTATACAAATGCGCACAAAGGCTGTGGGAAATCACACGGGAGGAGGCAGTGGCATAAATAATGTCTAGAATGAAGGAGGAAAAAAAGAAAAGAAAAAGGAAAAAAAAAGAAACTACACATATCGATCTATCTTTATATATATATATATATACTGCCTGATTTAATGGCTGGCAGCAAAGCGTAAGAGTATGACCATCGCAATGGGGGCACGTCAAAAGCCAGGGCCTATTTAACGCATGAACTATTGGTCACTTTTCTGGTGACGGGATAGTTGTTGTTTCTTAAAAAAAAAAAAAAAAGAAACAAGCCCATATATATGTACACGTTGACTTAACGACTGTCTCATTGTGTGCCTCTCTGTGTGATTGACTAGCTGCTTGTTTCCAGAAAGAAAACGAAAGAAAAAGAAAAGAAAAAGGCGGGTCGGCAAAACCGAGAGGTTCTACCGAAACAAAAGGAACACAAGAAGAAAACGTAAGACAAAAAAAAAAGGGAAAATTATTTTTAGTACTTATAAATCCGTGCGAAGAGGAATAAGAAAAGGGTGGGTTGGTGGGGATGGCAGGGAAAGGAAGGAAATGAGCATCTTCATTTTTTTTTTGTTTGTTTGTTTCCTCTTTTTTTTTTTTTTCCTGTTGCTACCATAACCCCATTCTTCTTTTTTCTCTTTATTTATTTATTTATTTATTTATTTTGTTTTCGTGCTTATGGGGAAAAAGGATTTGCTGAGCAAAGACGCTCCTCTCTTTTGAATGTGTGCATGAAAAAGGGAAATGGAGGGGGAGGAGTGTGGCGGAGTTGTGTTTTTGTGTGTGAATTGGCCGGCTGCTCTCTCAATGTCTGCTCTTTCCTCCCATCCAACACGTCCCCTTGACAACTTCGCGGTGGGGGAGTTTCCGTTGTTTTTTTCTTTTCTGGAGGGAGGAAGGGGGGGTGGCTCCGTGTAGGGATTGCGGTGGTGGTAGCACGTCCTCACGCATGCAATGGGGACGGTGACTGGCGAGCTGCAGGGCGATGCGTTTCTCCGTGCCAATTTGGAGTACTTGGCGTCGCTGGAACCACCGGCCATTTGTCCGGTGTTGCCGCGGCTCCCAGGGGGATCGGGTCTCCTGCCGGACGACTTTCAGTTACCCCCGACGGCAACAGCGGGCGAAGCTGCGTCGATTATCCTGCAGGTGAATGCTGTGGAGGACGTTTCTCTTCCGATGGCGCAGCGATTAAGGGCCATGGCACCACCCGCAACAGCGGCGGTGCAGGACAATGAGACGGAACTCCCCACGGCGGTGGGAGACGAGGCGCAGCAGATTTCAGTGGATGAAGTGCTGCGTTCTATGGAAAGTGACGAGCCCGCGTCGCAGCGACGTGGACGTCGTCAGCGTTTGCTTCGGCTAACCCTTACCGACGGCTTCACGAGGG